TCCCATAAAGGTTTAGATTTTGCTCTGACTGTCTTTTTTTTAGTAGAAAATGTTTTCTCTGGGCCTTTGTTTTAGTTGCACTAGCGTAATATGTAACCAACAGTGGAAATCGCTGTTTTCTGGGTGTGGTGGGCAAGTGTTGCTAGTGGGATTGCTTTAAGTGGTTGGGTTGTATGTGCGATAGCATTAGAGGAGAAGGAACATGAGTTGAGGGCCAAACAACGCAAGTTATATTCAGAGTGAGAGATTTGAGTTGCTTTCTTGCAGCTCACTGGATTTCTTTTCAGTATGACATTCGCTTGGTGTGTATCAGCATTGTGGTAGCTTTAGAGCCAGAATAGATTTTAAGGTTAGTGTTGTTTATTCTGACTAGCACCTTAGATCTTCTCAGCTTTGCCCAAGGGAATTCTCCTCGGCAGCAGTGACAGGATGGTGGTGGGTGAGTAGCAGGCTATGAGGGTGTAACACGTAGTGGCAGATTGTTTATGTCCCAGTCGGATTCTTAAGTCAAGGCAAATATTATCAATGATGATGGTAGCAGTAGCCTTCAGAGGGAAAAGAAAATGTTTAGTTCAATCTTCAAGAAACTTTCTGGAAGGGAAAATGAAAAAGAAATAATTCAAGAAATCTATAAATTTATTCGCTTGGAAAACTTTTTCATCAAACAGTTTTGTTTCTGTGATTCACCGCTATGGCAGTTGGAAGAGTAGAAGGGGTACCACAACAGACTATTTCCCTGCATTTCCACAACTGGCAAAGTTGTGGCTAAATGGAGCATGCCTTTCTGTCATTTTGCTTAAGTGCTTTTGGCATCTACTGAGCAAAGCTATACACTTCTAATCTTTTTAATTTTGATTGATCTTTTCAATCCTGAAGTAGAAAATAGGATGCATTTTCAATGTAACATTTAAATTGAAATATGAAATGGTGTTTTGTAGTTATATCCATTATTGGTTTGGTGGGTTAATCCTGGCCAGCTGCCAGACACCCACCCAGCTGCTCCCTCTTCTACAACACAGGGGGAGAAAACAAGGTGAAAACGCTTGTGGGTCAAGATAAAGACAGGGCTATCACTTACCAATTACCATCGTGGGCAAAGCAGACTTGACTTGGGGGAAAATTAATTTAATCGATTGCTAAATAAAATAGAATTTTACAGTGAGAAACAGAGAGAAAAATTAAAACAATACCCGGTGCCAGGAATGAATGGGTAACAAGGTTGCTATCAGTCCAAAACAGGCCTCTCTGCTGCTCCTTCTTCCTCACACTTTCCCCTGCTCCAGCCTGGGCCCCTCCTGTGGTCCTTCAGGAGAATCTGGTCTGGCACAGGGTCCACCATAGGCTGCAGTGTGGGTATGTGCTCCAGCCTGGTCTCTCCACAGGGCCACAGGGGAGCCTCTGCCCCAGCAGCTGGAGCACTCCCTCCCCTCCTCCTCCTCCTCCCCTGGTGCTCACTAGGCTGTTTCTCACTTTTTTCCTCTCGCTCCTCACTGCCTCTGTGGTGTTTTTGCCCTTGCTTAAATGCACTTTCAAGGAGATGCCACCACCTTCGTCGAGGGGCTCAGCTGTGCCCTGTGGTGGGGCCGTTGCAGAGCCAGCTGGAACCAGCTGTGACCGGCGCAGGGCAGCCCGGCCTCTCCTCAGAGAGCTCAGGCCTGCGGCCCCCGCAGACATCCGATACAACTGGTAAAGGAAAAAGAACACAAAGCTGCCTTTTTTTTTTTTTTTTTTTTTTTTTTTTTAAATCCTGACTACTGTAGCCTGATCATAGTTATCCTTTCTTTCTTTTTTCTTTCACCCTTTTATTTTTAGGCTATATGTAAAACCACAGAGAGAGAAGACAGCACTGTTGCTGTTGAGACTTAGGGGAGTGTTTGGAGGTGTGTGCATGTACATACATACTTGCCATTCCTTTTATCACAGGATGTTATGGAGACCAAGACAAGCGTGAAAGGCTGAATATATGATTTCCAAGGCCACTCGTGGGATGTCTGGATGGATGGGTTATAATGTGCTGACGCTGGGTTAGGGTTCAGGCTGGCAGCCCAGCCTGTAAATAACGCATGCCCTGCACCAGCCAGGTTCAAAGTCCCCATCTTAAACTCAGGTGTTATGGTATTAAGTATGAACTAGTCTTTGGTTCATACTGGAAGCCCTTGGTGCACCTTGTCCCATAGGTTGGTTACTGGGCATCCATGTTGCCTCGTATGTCCCCATTTTACCAGCGTTTTCAGAGTAGCTGAACTGTGATTGAAGAGGACCTGCAGCACTGAAAGCTTGTCTGCCAGTTTAGTTTCTTCGCATATATTCAGAGCCTTGTATTTAGGCAGGGACTTTACTCACCAGAGCAACTTGTACCAGATTCACCCACATTTAGAACACACTACGGAATTTTCTAGGCTTTCCAAGCTGCATTAAAGATGTATGCTTTTCCAAAATGTTAACAGAAACATTTAAGAAATGTTTGTTTGTTCGTGCAGATGCACACATTGTGAAATCCAAACACTGAAAATGAAAATGACTTTTAAAAAAAAAGTTAACAGGTCATATTATTTCATCCAGCTCAAGTACCAGAAAGAAATACACGTGTGCAGTCACACATGCCATGTGTTTTATTGTTTCTGTATGAATAATGCAGGATATTGCTTAAAGGAAAAGATTTATAAAGGTATTGTTGGGCTTGACAAACTTGGAGAAAATGTCTGCTACATGAATATGAACAGCCAGCTGTGCCTGTGCTCATTTTGAGCACTGGATGTCTAGGAGGCTGGGTACTATGGAAGGGTCTGTATATTGCAAGGTTGTGCAGCAAACCCACGATCTGCAGCAAATATACTGGGCTGGAAAGTGAGTGATGCACTGAGGATTGTAAGCCAAGGTGGAGTGAAGTCGCTAAGCACTGAGTGCAGGGTGGTAATTTGGTGCTCTTCCATACCCCAAGGAAGGAGGCAAGCGAGGTCCTGGTTTGCACCCAGTGTCATATGTCCCATTGACTCCAAGCACCTTTGCACTGAGCCCTCAATTGGGGAAGTTCTCTTCAGTTCCAGAAGAGAATGAACTGACTAATGATTTTAATAACTCTTAAAAAGATAAAGCATAAATAACAAAAATGTTGTAATTAAAACCATACAAAACCAAACACACAAAAAACCTCAAACTAATCCTCTGTCCAAAAGATTTCCTAACCAAGGAGCTGTTCCAGCTCCAAACAGTGGCAGTCATGTTGATAAGCATCACTTCTGTGCTGAGCCACTGTCCCTTTAATGTAATGCTGTTTTTCCAAGAGAGGAGGAAAACTCCTTTCCTCTTGCAAAAGTGATCCCAGCCTTCTCCTTTTGCTTGTTAAAGGTGGCTTGCTGATTTATCGCCTTCCTCCCACACTACTTAATGTTAATGCAAATAACGTGGGGTGGTCATCAACTTCTACCTGATGGTGTTGTGTTCCTGTTTGCTGCCTCCTACTTTTCTTCTGCAGACAGAATTGACCCCACCAGCTGCTATGTTTGTCAGAGACATTCTTCCTTATATTTCTTTGCCTCTGGGGCTCAAAAACACCAGAGAGTGGTGAAGCTGGAGTATGAAAGAACAAATGAATGGCTGAGTTACACGGTGAGCAGCTGTAGGACATTTAGAGAGGCTAAGGAAATAAAAAAGAAACCTGCTGAGATTGTCTCCTGAGGACAACCAAAAATATATTGATTATTCCTGTGGTACTGTTAGGTGTGATTTACCATTGGGGAAACTAAGCATTTCTAAGAATTCAGGAAATTAAAAAAATAACTCAGGTATGGTCTTGAGGACTCCCAAACATCTTTGAAATTAAAAGTCTATGTTTGGATATATATGTAATGCATCTACCTAATTAAAAAAAAAAGCTTGGATTTAGTTTCCAGTCTCCTTTCAGTGTGTAAACTTTTTATTTCAAAACAAAGATTTAAACTGTCTCTAGCAATTGGATCCTGCTGTGTTTAGTATTACCCCTGCTGTGTGTGTTCAGATCTAGATAAGACATCTAACTGAGGTCCTGACCCCTTATGGTCTTTAAAAATCCCAGAACCCCTTTTGAAAGAG